AAATTCTTTCATAAACATAAAGGCATCCTAAGCAAATGCTAGCAAAAAGAAAGCAAGCGTTGTGATCTTGATAAAAAAAAAATCATAAATTTTTGCTAAAAGGCATTAAATCAAAAACCTTTTTTTTTTACTGCTACAGATTCTATCACCAAATGAAGTATTGTGGTTTAGATATGAGGAGTCTCCCAAAAGCCCAAGTGTAAGACAATGCAAGAATGTTCAGAAGTAAAATGATTAGATTATGAGAGCTATGACCTAGCTCTGATTAATTAATTAATTTACTCATACAGATTAATCTGATGATAAGTGTAGATAGGTAGGTTGTGGCTAGAAAAAAGTAGGTCACTGAGGGCATGCCCTTGAGGTTTATGTTTTGTCCCTGGTGAGCCAGAGCGCTCTTTCTACTTCCTGGTTGCCATGTCCTGAGCTGCTTTTCTCTGCCATACCATTCTGCCATAATGTGCTGTCTCACCCCTGGCCCAGAGGTATGGAGTTAGTTGACCATGGACTGAACCTCTGAAAACATAAGCCAAAATAATTTTTTCCTCCTCTACATTGATCTTGTCAGATATTTTGCTCACAGCAACAAACTAGCATGAAGATATGACCAAAATAACATAATAGTATAGATCTTATGACAATTTTTTCAACTTTTGAACCCTAATAATAGACAATGCACTATTTTTCAAGCATTCATAAAACAGTCACAAAAACTGGGCATAAAGTAAGCAACAAAGAAAACTTTATTATAAAGTTCCATAAAGAGAAAATATCATAAATAATATTCTCAGGTAAGAAGGCATTAAAACTAGAAATTGATAACAAATTCACTATTACAAAATGATTCTTATATCAAAGGAGAAACACAAACTAAAATTGTCAAATTTCCAGAAAATGATGGTAATGAATATTGTACATATAAGAATCTATGGGACACAATTAAAGCATACATCAGAAGAAAATTCAGAGCCTTAAATACTAATAGTAATATAACTTAAAAATTGAAAACAAATTCCTAGAAGAAAACATAAGGTCAACACTCCAGCATATACACACAGGCAACAACTTTCTCAGTATGAACCTTAAAGCTCAGGAAATAATGCCAAGAATTAATATATGAGACAGCATCAAATTAAAAAGATCTGCAATTGGAAATAACTGGGAATATGAAAAGACAACCTACAGAATGGAAGAAAATCTTTGTTAGCTACTCTTCTAACAGAGGATTAATATCTAGAATACAGAAAGAGTTCAAAAAACTTTATGCCAAAAAAAATCAAATAACCCAATTAATAAATGGACAAATGAAATAAAAGACAGTTCACAAAAGAAATACAAATGGCCAATAAATATACGAAAAAATGTTCAACATCATTAGTAATTAGGGAAATGCAAATCAAAACTACACTGAGATTTCATTTCATACCAGTCAGAATGGCAGTCATCAAGGATATAAATAATAATAAATGCTGAAGAGGATGTCAAGAAAAAGGAACATGTTTACACTGTTGGTGTAAATTAGTAAAATTACTATGGAAACCAGTATGGATGTTCCTCAAAGACTACACATGTAACCACCATTGACCCAACTATACCACACTTTGGTATTTATCATCAAGATTTAAAGTAATCACAATACAGTGATATATTCATACCTAGTGTTGAGAGCACAATTCACAATAGCCAAACTATAGAATCAGCCTAGGTGTCCATCAACAGATGGATGGATGAAGAAAACGTGGTGTGTGTGTATATATATATATATATATATATATATATACACACACACACACACACACACACACACATATATACGCAATGGAATTTTATTCAGCAATTTAAAAAAAATGAAATTATGTCATTTGTAGGAAAATGGATTGAACTAGAGACCATTATATTAAGCAAAATATACCAAATTCAGAAGGTCAAGAGTCGAATGTTTTCTCTCATGCATGAAAGCTAGAGAGAAATTGGAAAGCTAGAGAGGAAACAGGAAAAAAAAGGTGGGGGTGGATTTCAAGGAAATCAAAGGGACCAAGAAGTGGGAAATGTGGAGGGAGGGGGGATGCAGGGGAGTGACACTGGCCAAACTATACTCTCATATTATGTACATGTATGAATATGTAACAACAAATTTCACCATTATGTACAACTGTAATACACAAATTTTAAAATGTGGAAAAAAATGAAACAAAAAACAAATAGCATTATACTAAAAAAGTTATAAAAAAGCAAAGTAGCAAAAATAAAGTAAAAGGAAAATACAATATAAACAAGAATTGAATTAGAACACCAAAAGAGAGCTGGGGGTAGCTCAGTGGTAGAGCACTTGACTAGCACGCATGAGGACCTGGATTTAATCCCCAGTTCAGGGGTTCAAACAAAAAAAAACCTAGAATTTAATAAACAAAATAATTCACTGGGAAAGAATATCAAAAAATTACTAACTTAATAAAAATAAGAATGGCAGAATTATATAAAATAAATTGAAAAAAAACATAGAAAAGAGATAATTCAGTCAAGTCATAACAGACTTTATTCAACTTCACGTAAATAAATATCAAAATCTTTTAAATGAAAAATTTCTGAAAATTTAATATTTTTTAAAAAAATAGATAATTTTGGCTCTTGGAGAAAGTTGCTAAAGCCCTTTATTGTGTGAGGTGAAAGTTTAAACAGAACGATTTCCATAGAGGAAACTTATAACTTTTTCTAGGAACTACCACCTAAAAGAATCACCATGCCCAAGAGATTTAACAGAGGAACATTCAAAGGCCAGAAAACTCATTGCTACTTAAACTACTCCAGAACAAAGAAAGAGAAAGAAGATGATATATTTTATGAAGTAAATATAATACCCAAGTATGATAAACAATATGCACACACACACAACTAGTAGCTGATCTCACAAATACTGATGTATTTATTCCTGCAAATCCATGAATCTAATTCACCACAAATAATCAATGTATTGGAAATATGTGGTAATCACCACCTTCATCACATATTCAACTTAGAACCATGGAGTTATGAATGAACCTTTTGATAACCTCAGCATCATCTACAAAGTATACTCTTATCAAGAATGTTTAATTTGAATCTAATCAAGGTTTTAGACCAAGTTTCAAGTTTACAGAAAATTCACTAAATAAATGAACCAATTATTCCACCAAAATACAACTCAGATGAAACTAAAAATGTATTATATACAACGAGTCAACTGCCTGATCACTTCAATAAATCAATTCTATGAAGAAAAATTAAGTAGAAAAAGTAGTTGAAAATATAACAATATACATAAATTTTGACTACAATTTGATTCAAAGAAGAGTGATAAAAGCCATTTTAGGACAATATGAACTGGTTGGCATTAAGCAATATTATTAATTTTCTTATGTGTGATAATGTTATAATTATGCAAAATATCCTTGTTTTAGGACACACATGCCAAAGTATTTAGGATTAAAGCAGGGTGATTCCTACAACATGCTTCTACATGTTGCACACACACCAAAAAAAAAAAAAACCTACATACATAAACCTATATTCACATACAAATGAAGTGAAAATGGTCAAATGTTAACTGTTGACTCTAGTTAATGGTTACAAAGAGTTTCTGTTGAAAAGTAAGCACATAACTACAAAAGTGATCATTTAAGTACTAAAAGTAAGTAAATCATAGCACACTTCATTTAAAGGATTTTTAAAGTTTGATATGAGTGACACAAATTTTTAGCATATATTTTCAAAACCAACATTCATGTTTTGAAATGATCAGGAAGTTACAATCACCAGAAGAACTCTTATTACTTAGAGGGGAACAAAATTATAATACTTAACACATATATAATACTTAACTAAGTGCAGGTACCATTCTAAGTGAAGTGTAAAACTACACATATTAACTCAATTATCTAAACAACCTAACAAATCTATTATCACTATTTCCATTTTTCAGGTAAGGAATAAGCCAAAGAGGTGACAAATTAAGTGGCACAGCCAGACTGCCAAAATCACACAGTACAGCTCCAGATCCACACTTTAGCTACCACCCTATACAGTCCTCTAAGATAAAGGATTTTTTTCCTGATGTTGCTGACTTGGTTTTTCAGAGGCTATAACATCCACCATCTCTTTGAACTTAGTAAATCTAACAAATCCATAAGTATTCTGATAAACCAGAGAACTGCAAAAATTTAGATAACATTACATTTATAAAAGTGCAGTAAGAATGGCTTTAGGTGATTTAAGTAAATATTTGGTTATCTGAGATCTATTCATATTCTTAAAATGGAATCAATGACTACCTACGGTAACCATCTTTATAAATTAAAAAGTTTAAACACATGGTCCCATTTGATTCCCTGGAACAAAGGTGGATAATTTCTCAACAATAAAATAATTACTCATGTGATGACAGTCTCTTCTACAAAAACTTTAATTTCAACTAAATGATTGAACAGATTATATAAGTTTGTAGCATTCAGTACAAATCTTATTAATTCGCAAAGAAAATTCCAAGTTCATGAAAAATCAAAATACTTTTTCATGCCAGGATGCCTTAAAAATAATAATAATTCATATAACAAAGATCATTCAATGATCCTAAAACAAAGTATAGATCTAGATGATAATAGAAAGCTATTATTAATTTTGTTAGGTGTAATAATGGTATTATAGCTATAGAAAAAAATCATTCATGAATTTGCATACACCATGTTTTAGGTAGGCTAAAGAAGCCTCTAATTTTTTAGTAAAAGAGAAGCAAATGAGTATTATTGCTATAAATATCAAACTTTATATTTTATAAACTTATAATAAAAATAATAATATAAAATTAATTTTTATTCAAGTACCTGCAGAATTAAAAAAATATGTCTGAAAATATTGCTCATTCATGGACTATAATAAGAGGTAAGCAAAAAAAATAATAACTCTAGTTGAAGTAGAGAATGGGTAACCAGTTCTATTAAATATGCAGTAGATATGTAGAATTTTACCTGCTTTTTCTTTCAATTAGAATGGCCATATAAGATGCTGGTAAAGCGGCACCAAAGCCAGGAGTCCATGAGTAGAATTTTCCAAGTATCTTCCTGAAATTCAAATTTGGAATTTTTGTATGAAATTCCTAGTTGGTCATTTTAGTCAAGTTTCCCTTCTCAGTCTACCCTCTATACTTCAAATCAGCATGTCCAAAACCAAACTCATTGTCTCTCTTCCCTAACCCTGCAAACTTGTTCTTCCTCTTTTATTTTTCCAAGTGGCATCAACAATTAACCATGTGTTATGTTTGACACTTAGAGTCATTTTCAGCTTCCTATTTCCCTTACCCAATATACTAAATCATGCCCTTAAATTACTGCATATACAATTCATCTCTCAAATGTCTCTCCAACCTACAGTCCCTGTCTTGGTTAAGTCTTTCAACATCTTTTATAAAGGCCACTGCAATACCAACCTAATGGATTTGCTAGTCTTCTAACCTAATTTCCTTCTAATAATTTAGTCAATCATGTTTATTCAGGCATTCCTTCAATGTAAAATACTGGCTATGCAAATCTTCTGGGTTTTTTATTTATCATGTAGGAATGATAATACTACCTGTCTCATTACAGCTATTATGAGGACTATTTAAGATATTTCTCAGCATCACACAGGGCACACAGGAGGAACTCAAAGTATTAGAATAGTGCCCTGAACTTTATATATGACCATCAGCTGCTTGAGTTTTTTAAGAGGTTAAAAAAAAAAAAACAGAAATCTGGAGACATTAAGAAGACTCTTCTTCCTTAAAAACAATGTTTCTGGGCTGGGGATGTGGCTCAAGCGGTAGCGCGCTCACCTGGCATGCGTGCGGCCTGGGTTCGATCCTCAGCACCACATACAAACAAAGATGTTGTGTCCGCCGAAAACTAAAAAATAAATATTAAAATTCTCTCCCTCTCTCCCTCTCTCTTAAAAAAAAAAAAACAATGTTTCTAAGAAAGGGAAAGTAATATGTACAAATTATCAGAAATTATCTGAACAAAGTGGACCAATTGATAAATGATGCATGATAGGAAAAAAAATAGAGAGATTAGGATTAAAAATGACAGACAAGGGCTATGACTGTAGTTCAGTGGCACAGCGCTTGCCTAGCATGTGTGAGGCACTGGGTTTGATGCTTAGCACCACATAAAAAACAAACAAATAAAATAAAGGCATTCTGTCCATCTACAACTACAAAAAAAAATTTAACAGAAAAACAACAGATGAAGCTCAGATCTTAAGGACTGGAAAAACTACCGTAAATACTTAACCTGGGTATTTCTAAAATGGACAACACAAACCTGCCTGAGAACACTAGAGGTTGTTTTCCCTCCAATATAAAATCCACAAAGGACTTATTGAATATAAAATCTAAGGGAAAATTAAAATAAATTCATTGAATCAGTTATAGGAAGACCATGGATGTTACCTTAATAATAGTTAATTATAATATATCACACAAATAATTATTAAGTATAAATATTTTATGATTCTATAACTTAACCAAACAGGTTCACAGAACATAAAGAAATATGCTGCAATAGCAACTTGGTGCAATTTTTTAAAATCTTATTATTTATAACTTTATTTTAGAGCTTTAACAAGTCTTTGAAACTTTACAGAGACCACATGATGAAGAAAATTCCTTACATAGATTTTCATGTCAATTTAAAGACATGATTTGCTTAACAGTATGAAAACACCACCAGTTATTTTCTTCATCATCTAAAAGTTTACAAATACTAATACATTGAGGAAAAGTCTATAAAAGATATTTGAAAATTAAATATTTAATTGCAGTTAAAATATATAGAACTACTTTGGGCAACAACTTGACAAATAAAAAATTAGTTTATTTTTAACAATCAGTGTGGTGGAAAAGATAAAAAGTAAGTATGTAATAAATATGTTAGGTTTGTCAAGCACTCAAAAGACTGAATTCTATCTGCATCTATAATGTATAAAGCATGAAGCACAGGTAATGCTACAAAACTGAATCAGAACCAAACGTTCCAGCAGTAGGCTATATCAGGAGCTAACTTTTTTTTTCATAAACACATGCATTTTGCATTCCTTTTGAAGTTTGTTCACTACAGATAGCCCTAACCTATATCACGGTCACTTTGAATTCATGATTTATGAAACTAAAGAGCTAAGAAATTCCGATCAACAAATTGAAATTAAAACAGAACTCAGAAAATATATAATATACAAAAGTATTTTTGTTATATAATCATGCTAATAATTTGAAATGTATATAATATCTTGAGGCCAAGAAGCCCACAGCTCCTGGTTTTTTGGGTTTTGGTTTTTGGTTTTTGGTTTTGGGTGGGGAGGGGGATACCAGAGATTGAACACAGGGGCACTCAACCACAGAGCCACATCCCAGACCTATTTTCTATTTTATTTAGAGATAGAGTCTCACTAAGTTGCTTAGGACCTTAGGCCTTTGCTGAGGCTGCCTTTGAACTCAAAATTCTCCACCTCAGCCTCCAGAGCCTTGGGATTACAGGAAGCTCCACTGCACCGAGCAGCTTCTGATTTTATAAACTATCTTTGAAACAAATGTCATTTCACAGGTTTAAAAAAATAGAAATAAAAGCAGTGACCTACACAATGGTTATATAAACATCTGTTTGTTTCCATTTCAACAACAAAATTTGTATTAATATCTAGTGGTGATTATGAGTACCAACCTTAAAGTGCAAAAGAAAGTAATATACAAGGCCCCATTAGCAGTCAGAAATGAAGCGGATTGTAGGATCTCAGGGAGTAGTTTGTACAAATAATAGTCTAATTTTCGTTTCCGGAGAATTGCTGCAATCTGGAAAGAGAAAGGCTTTTTTGTTTAATCCAAACAACTATTATTAGCTTAAATTAGCTCTTATGTGGAAACTACTGAATAAACATGTATTTAAAAATAAAAGTAAAAACTATGGCATTGTACTTGCTCCTTTATAAAAATATAATTTCAAGGACAGAAAGGAGATACTTGAATTTACTAAGGATAAAATACACACCAAGAAATTACAACTTGGATCATGTAATGAACACATTTCATAAATTGAGAAGCATTAAAGACAGTTTTAAACTGAAAAATGAAATACACCTTTAAATGGAAAAAAAATTAAAATTCTAATAAAATCTGATGCTATAACAAAACGACATTACAGATTTTATCAGCCTACCATTATTAGAGAATTTTAAGGATAGAAAACAGAAAAAGAAATTATTCAGTTATTCAAACATGACTATTATAAGGGAAAAAATGATAGAAATACAAAATTAACAAAGTTAATAATTTCTGGCTTCCTGGAGCCCATGTAAAACTATCAAATAAACCATTACTAAGAATATAATAACACAGGTAAGCACCACATGCCCCTAGAATACAGAAAGAATAATACCTAGACAGAGAATTGCAGAAGATTATGACAGTAATCTTTTATTATACACCAAATACACCAAAGTGCTGGGGAAAGGAGGGAGGACGAAGAGGAGAAAACTTCATCTGAAATATATCTGAGCCCACAAACTCATGGTGTGCTTCAAGTTACTTGTGCAGATAACTGCAAAATTAAACTCAATAAAATGAATGCAATCTCAAAAAAAATCAACCTCTCAGACTTTATGAGATAGCTTTTAAATTTAAATTGAAAACTTTGAATTTTAATTATTTAACTATTATTTATTTATTAATTATTTGAATGGCTAATTTCCCTAACAATATATCAAAATAAAAAGATGATATTTAGTTATTGATCACACTTTTAATGTTATAAAAAATAAAACAAAATAAATCACAATATGCTCAAAATGTGGATTATAGATATTTAAGAATTATTAAGTATTAGGAATATAATTCACAGGTACCACAGAAATTTAGCAAAGTGAATTTAATATAAAGTAGGCAGAAGTTTCATGGAAAAGGGGACATAAGCTGGATTTAGAAGAATAGAATTCTCACAAGTCATGAGAAGGAATACCTTTTTATCACAATGAAACAGTATATCAAAGGAATGAGTATTAGAACAGGATCAGGGAATGACAGAGGAGGTGTAAAAAAAAGGCAAAAATGACTGCAGCACAAGAAAACTCTCCATTCACTCCCTATCTTTCTGGAGATAACACTTTCCCTAAGGTCAGTGATCAACAAATCTAATGGCCTCTTCTAAGTTCTTCTGATGACCCCCTTGAAGTCTCTGAAACTGACCCCCTCCTATTTTAATTCAACATATGGAAAACAATGGTGAATAAGTCTTAATCCTTGTTTTCAAGGAATATAAAATTTTGATAGCAACAAAAACATATATAATAACCTAAAATATGGCAGTATGGGAAATGTTAGAAGAAGAGACATACGGGAGGAAGTTGGGAAGGGCAAGTGATAATGTCAGGAAGATTTAACTGGACTTTTAATATGAATCTTGACAGGTAGAATTTTAACAGGTGAGAAGTTTCTATGAAAGTGCATTCTTTTCATTTCTCAATTATCTACCTAAAGGCTATTCCTTCTTAGCAATTTGCCATCAAGTCTCTATACTCATTCTACGTGTGCTCTCTCCCATAGTATCACCTATCATCTGAATGTAGGAATTCCTAACCTGTCACCTAAAATTTAAATCCATACTTTAAATGTGTACTGGGCATGTCAGTATAGATATTCAATGAACACCAAAAAAAATCAAAGAGTCCAAAGGACAATTCATTGTATTTCCCAAATGCATTTTTACTTCTGAATTCCCTATCCCAAATAGGAATAAAATGTTGGTGTCATTTTTAATTCCTCCTTCATCCTCAGCCATTGCCTCAGTTTCTTTTATCTTCAGGATTTCAAATGCAATGTCTCTTTATTTTAGACTTAACAATGGACAGAAACTGGCAGAGTTATATATTCAAGTAATTACAGATCAGAGGATACAAGATAAAACATCCAAAAATCAATAGCATTTTTATGTAAGAGCAATGAACACATACACATAAATATGACATTTATAACTCCTCAAAAAGATGAAATACTTGGGTACAAATCTTCCAACACATTTATAATTTATAGCATTTGTATGCTGAAAATACACAACACTAATAAGAGAAATAAAAGAAGATGTACATAAGTGGAGAGGTAATCTGTATTAGTCAGCTTTCCATTACTATGATAAAATGTCTGAAATAAATAACTTATAAGGAAGAAAAGTTTATTTTGGCTTACAGTTTCAATCCATGGTCAGTTTGCTCCATTGCTTTGGGGCCTGGGGTTAGGAACATGTGGCAGAAGAAACTGCTCACTTCTTGAGAAAGACAGGCAGTGGCTAGAGACCCAATAATCCCATTCAAAGGTACATGGCCAATAATCTAAATTCCTTTCACTAGACTTCCCCTACTAAAAGGTCTTCTACCTCAAAATAGCAACCTAGACTGGGGACCAAGCCTTAAATCATGGACCTTTGGGGAATATTCAAGATCTAAACTATCATGACTGGGGTTGTAGTTCAGTGGTAGAGAGTTTGTCTGTTATGTGTGAGACACTGGGTTCAATTCTCAGCACCACATATAAATAAATAAAGTTCCATTGACAAACTTAAAAAAAAATTCTAAAAAAATATGTAAACTTCAGTGTGGAGCTAGGGATAAAGCTCAGTTGGTAGAGTACTTGTCTCACAAGCACAAGGCCCTGGGTTCAATCCCCAGCACCAAATAAATAAATAAATAAATACAGTGTATTCCATGTTCATGGATTAGAAGATTCAATATGGTAAAAATGTCATAAATTATAAACTAATAAAAATATATAAATAAAATATAAGCTAAATAATTAATAGGCAGATCTAACAAGTCTTATCAGAATCCAAGGATTTCTATAGATACAGACAAGAGTATTCTAAAATTTATAAAGAAAAGCAAATGAATTAAAATAGCTTTGAAAAAAGTTTTTAAAAAGAAGAAATAAGTCTGATTTTAAGATATTGTTACATAGCTACAGTATCTGACCATGTAATATTGGCAGACATGGACAAATAGAGGAATAGAACAGAATAGAGAACTCATAAATTCATGGAAATATATTCAGTTAATACAGTTAAATTTTTTCCAAATGTACAAAAGCAAGTTCATGGGAGAAAGATAGTCTTTTCAACACATGGTGCTAGAGTAAGAGGGCATACATTAAAAAAAGAAAAGAAAAATAAAAAAGAGAACCTTAAGACTTACACTTTGTGCAAAAATTAATTCAAAATGAGTCATAGACATAAATGTAAAATATAAAATCACAAAACTTTTAGGAAAAAAAAATGAAGACAACCTTATAGCCACAGGATAGGTAACAAGTTTTTAGACTTGACATTAAAATCATAATTCATAAAAGGAAAATTTGATTAACTGAACTTCATCAAAATTAAAACTTTTTCTCTCTGAAAGACCTATTAGGAGGACAAAAAGGCAAGCTACAGAATAGGAGAAAATACTTGCAAATCACATAGCTAATAAAGGTTAATATCTAGAATAAATATAGAAATCTTAAAACTCAACAATAAAAAACACAATCCATTTAGGAAACAGGCAAAAGATAATGAACAGACATTTCCCTAGACAAAAACATACAGATCATATATAACCACCAAGCTTGGTATACACACCTATAATCCCAGCAACTCAGGAGGCTGAGGCAGGAGGATTGCAAATTTAAAACTATAATGAACTATCATTATAAAACTGTCAGAATGGCTAAAATAAAAAAAACAGTGACAACACCAAATGCTGGCTAGCATTAGAGAACTAGTTCATCTCTTCATTGATGGTCCAAATGTGAAATGATAAAGCCATTCTGGAAAACAGTTTGGTAATTTCTTGAAAAACTAACCAAGCAATTACCATATGACTTCTAATTGTAGTTCTGGGTACTATCTGAGAAATGAAAATTTATGTTTACACAAAAATCTGTGCACAAATATTTATAGCACTTTTGTTCAGTTTTTTCCCAAAACTGGAAACAACTCATGTGCTCTTCAACAGGGGAACAGTTTAACAAACCATGATATAACCATTCCATGGAGTAAATAGTACTCAGCAATAAAAAGGCCCAATCTAGTGATATATCAAATGACCTTGATGAATTTCCAGAGAATTATGTTGAGTGAAAAAGCCAATCCCAAAGGAGACATACTGTATGATTCACTCCTCTAATATTCATGAAATGACAAAATTATAGAAATGCAAAATAACTCAGTAGTTAAGGGATTAAGATGATATTGGTAAATAGAAGGGGAGTAAGTATGGCTATACAAGGACAAAACTAGGGATCCTTGCCATGATGGAAATATTCTGTGTCTTGACTGTATACATGGTAATATTTTATTGTAATATTGTATTATTGTTTTGCAAGATGACAGCATTGGAAGATCTCTATAATTTCTTTCAAATGCATGTGAATCACAATTATCTCAAAATAATAATAAAAAGGTCAATTTATCTTTAAAAACCAGTTTATGCACATAGCCAACAGGCATATGAAATATTCTTAGCACCATTAGTCATCAGAGAAGTGCACAATGAAATACCACTACACACCCACCAGAACTTCTAAAATGAAAAGGATAGATAATGTACAGTGCAGGTGGGAATGAGAGGCACCACAACTCTCACATTGTAAAATGGCTATTACTTTGGAAAACTGACAGTATCTAATGAAAATAAGTGTTTATCTATCTATTGTAGGAGCCAGCAATTGTATTTCTGGAAAAAATACCCAAAAGCAATAGTGCTTATTTCTACCAAAAGATATATTCATAATACCATATGTAATTATAAATACTACAACAACCTAAATGT